CGAAAATTGAAGCTCTCTAGCTCCTTTCTATCAAAAGGTATTCAAAAAGCAACCAAGTGCGCGGTGTTTTGGCGCCCATAATAAAAAAATGTTTTCCAAATCTGGAAAAAAAAGTAGTGGTAGTTTGCTAAATCGTGCTTTGTAATACTCTTGCTATACAACACTATCGATGTATGATAAGAAAAAACCTAGATCTTTATCTTTTGTTTGGGTCAAATTTTTTCATAAAAAGGAGATGTTTTTTAAAGTAGCGACATGTTCTGAAAGCCCGTGAAATTTTACATCATCCTGTATATTTTTATTTTTGTTTGGATCGCTGTGTAAAAATATTATTCCAATGAAGTGAACACACCCTCAGTACCTCATGTCCACACACTTAATACAATCATTGTTATCTCGTATAGTTTTTCAAGATTTTCTCAGTATTACAAATAGGTTTTTGAAAAAAGTAATCACATGTTCTGATAGAGCTTGAAATTCTCTATCAGCCTATATATTTATATATTGTCTTGCATTTACTTGCTGGGAAAAAATTTGAATACAGTAAAGGCAACCTACTTTGACAAGTACAAAAAAATGCATATTTTTCGCTAGTTCTTCAGTATTTTTTTCAAATTATTATAACTATAAGAACACTCTTTTACAAAAGTAATTGTGTATTTTGAGGGCCCGTGAAATTCTCTATCATTCTATCTATTTATGTCTTGCCTTGCATTTATCTGCCAAAGAATAATTTCAATATTATTTAGGCACCCTGGTTTTCAAACCTAAATAACCAGACTTTTGGTTGGACTGATTACTTTTTTCAAAACCTATTTGTAATACTGAGAAAATCTTGAAAAACTATACGAGATAACAATGATTGTATTAAGTGTGTGGAAATGAGGTACTGAGGGTGTGTTCACTTCATTGGAATAATATTTTTACACAGCAATCCAAACAAAAATAAAAATATACAGGATGATGTAAAATTTCACGGGCTTTCAGAATATGTCGTTACTTTAAAAAAAATACGTTCTTTTGGCAATAATATCCTCAAAATACCGAGGAAAACTTATTTTTTCCAGGGGTACATATATCTAGGTATCTATAATACATCCGAATATTGTTTCATTTAACACCTTATAAATACGTTTTCACTACAAAACTTTTGTCTCATTTTTAAATATAATCAAAATGTGGCATTGTCTACTACTAACTCGGAGAATAACTCTGACTATATTAACACTAGACGCCCGAAAATTTTCATAACCTAGAACGCCCAAAGCGGTCATTTTGACCGTTACTGTTTTTTTTAAAATTTTATACTTAAAAATGGTTCTGAAGTCAAAAATGAATTAAACATTCTGCAAAAAATAATTTTTGTGGGACAAACTAAAAGTTATGACAGAATTTATTTTTAAATAAATTGTATGCAGTTTGTTTTAGTAAGGATAAAAATCACAAAACGGTCAAAATGACCGCTACGGGCGTTTTAGTGTTAAGAAAAGCTATAAGTCATATGTAGTCGGCTATATTAGTCAAAAAATATTTTATTAATGAAAAATTAGACGGTTATCATTGGTGTGTTACATGTACATTGTGTCACTCAGTATTTTCGGATAAGATTCACGTAGCTTCTAACTGTAATCAACATCTGAAAGAGCATCATAAATGAACCAGAACATTTATTTAAATCACCTGATTTAAATAAATGGTCTGAATCATTGACAGAAGTACATAATTTTTTCTACAGAAAAACCCCAGTTTACAGACAGCAAAAACATTGCGGTTTTTTAGGTTAACTAAAAATCTGTTATTTTTCGAAACTAAATCGAAAGACTCGCTAGAATGGAAAACGATAAATCAATCAATATGGGGATACTTGATACAAAAACATAGAATGAAGCGATGGAAATAAACTATGAGTTATTGAAGAGCAGACTGTCTGTAATAACGTGCTGAATCCCCGTCATAATCACCACATACAGTGCCATAGGTAGAACCATATGTAACTAGTAACACATTGGTATCATCCTATAAAATGATAACAAAAATGAGGAAATGAAATGACAGTGACTATATATATTACTTCGAGAATAGCAGCAAATGGTGCAGGACATACCAGAGTACCACTATCATCAGCAAAATTGTTATATGTGCCAGTCGCAGACATTAAATCACCAACCATAGATGCGTTCCAAGTATTTTTACCAGCTAATGCACCGTCCAGATAGAATGCTGTATAAGCCGGTAAAGCAGAACCACTAACGTGTAATATATCACAGTTATTAACACATGTAACATTAATATGAAATATTTCTAGTACAGCACGATCATGTTTAACCCACACACCAGATAGATCATAATTCGGAGATACTGTTCTGATGGAAGCTGTAAACGGTGAGGCAGCGATTGTTAATAAGCGGACAGCAAACCAAAAACTGAAAGTGTTCATGATGAAGAAATGACACTAAACGATGTAAGTGTGACGGAAGAGTAACGGGAAAAGAGAAACAGAACGTAAAAGCAACTGCTCGTTCTTATCTCTTCAAAGAAGAAAAAAATAGAGCAAACATTATCCTTTACTTTCAATTTTTATACTCACCCGTGGCTGTGTTACAAGTAGAAAACTAACGAGGGAACATTCCCAGCTGTCCAACCCCGATTTCTCTCAAACATACATCAATTGATAGCCTATACCGAGATAGTAAAAGGCCTAAAAGGATTCATCTCAGGGCTCTTGAAGACTCGGTTTTCTGGAAAACCAGTTTTCCAGAAACTCTAACAAAACAACCAAAACGTTATTAATATGGCACGATTGTACCTCGGAAACTTCTGATTAAAATGAGACAACTCCAAATCTACATGACCTTTCTTTGCAAAGTTATAGAATTTACAAGACAAGCCCTAAATGTTCATTGTGAGCTCAAAGCTGCAGTGATAAGAAGGAAAAATTAATTTAGTTGCTTTAATTAATTGTTTTGATTTAACTGCTTGCGAAATTGAGATTATTGTCATCACCTTCCATTTTAAAAAATTCTTTTTTATCAAGATTTCAAATACCAAATGTTGGTGTTTGAGAGTCTATGCTCTGATTGTTCTCATTCTCAGTTGCACAACTACTATACAAATTCAAATTAATGATGATTTTGGAGATTGTTATATAAGAGAAAAAGATCTCCTAGCTCAGAGATAAATTTTTTCTTTTAAGTTTTCTTGCTCTCATTAGACGTGATTTAATTCGAAGCACTTCCCTTATAAGTCAAATTAAGAAACCGTTACAAAAGTTATTCATTAATCTTTCCAGTTTACACAAAACCCCGACCCATCCTAATTCGTCATCTAACTCGTAGAGAACAATATAATAGAGCTGCAAAAAATAGCGATTTTCTTTTCTTTTCTTTTTTCTTTACTTATTCACGTTATATATAGTGTGTGCTCACGTTGCAATGTACGGTACATATATATAACATACAGTAAGACTATTGTGTGTGTAGAGTGATGTCACGTTTCCTTCTTTTCCTTAGCGTGTATGAACGTTATATAACGTTCGTACACACTAAGGAAAAGAAGGAAAGAATTAAGAAAAGAAAAGAAAATCGCTATTTTTCGCAGCTCTAATATAAACTAATTCTATAGACATTTTCCAAATAATTACTGAATAATACC